AGCCATACAGGGGGAGCCAGTCGCGGATGGCACGGCTCCGTTCTGTCGTTTGCCGATTTGCAAAGAAAACACCTTTTGCGAGCTTGGCTGAAGGTTTCCTTAACGCACAAAAGATGGATAGATCATTCCATTTGTTTTTCACAGTCCGTCTGTCCGTCTGCCTCGGACACGCATGTCGACGAGCCAACAGAGAAAAAAAGGCGCCTCAACTAGGGCACGACTCACCAAGAGACGTGAAACTACACACATCTCTGTTGCAAAATGCCAATGACCATCTGACTGACTGACTGACTGACAGGCAAATATCTGCACACTTATCCGCACAGGGCCGACCCACATTCTCCCATCGGTCGTTTGAGTCCCTCCGTATCTGTCCGATTGACTCGGAAAAAAATAGACAGCCACCCCCTTGTCAATCCAATCAACCATGCATAAGCGGCCAAACATGTGCCATCCGTCACACGACCGATGGCTCTCCCTGACAATTGTCAGACATGCACAATCTCGTTGAGGCTCGCTCCATTGCTCACCTCGTGAGTGCTGCATCCGTCCATCAATCAGGAGCAGGGCTCGGGGTCGTCGCGACCTTTCAGCCGCTCATAAATTCTCCACGCAAACGATCCGACTCGAGAGAGAACCGTCACCAGAGTGAAGAAGGCAGACACAATGAAGAGGATCGGATTGACAGCCTCCGGTGCCCACACGATCGTCAGCACCAAGATGGGCACTTCCAGCAGCGCAAAGGCCGCAATGCAGAAGTGTTGGCATAGGGAGGGACAGCCGCGGATACCGTAATGAACAAACAGCGACACGACGTCAGCCAGCGATAGGTGCAGGATGATGAAGCCGACAGCTTGATATCCTAGATATTCTCGTTCAAGACGGCTTTTCGCTGTTGTCATGCACTCCTCATCAGCATCACTCCACGGTGCATCGGGGAACCCACAAATAGACTCTGCAAGCGAAGATATTGGAATCCCGCTGGTGAATTCCACTCCCACCGCCAAATCAGTGATCAAGTCCACAGCCATCCCCCCAACGGCCAGCAGTTTAGACAAGCGAACGAAGGTGAGGAAGTACATCCGTTTGAGCCACCGCTTGGTCACCGAGCGATAAAGGAAGGGCTCTGTTTGCCGAGCCTTGGCTATGCGCTCGGCCGTCGGTGAGGGTCTCCACCCTGCCCGATGGCCGCAGCACGAGAGCCGGTTGTAATCGACGTCAGTTTCCCTTCCACCCGTCGGGCTGGTCGATGCACGGATAAGCCGCGGCTCCGAGATGACAATGAAGAGGGTGAACTGCAGAAGGATCGCACCAGCCAGCCACGCCAGTGCGCCGAACCGCAGGCCAAAGCGGAGATCACGAGGCATGGACGCCGTGCAAACCCAACTCAACGTGAACCTGAAAAGGACGATGTTCAGAATAATAGAAAAATACATGAGCCATCGAGTGCCCCACCAAAATGGCGGCGCGCACAGACTTCCCAATCCAACGAGAAGCATCAGAGGCGGCGGTGCAAAAATCACAATCGCCAGGAGCGGGTCGTCAACGAACAAACTCCCTTCGTACCCAAGGATAACGAGAAGTACGGAGAAACACCCCCACCACCACCAGAGTGCATAGGTCACGACGAGGCCGATAATGAGAAGGAAATGCCTCAGAGGATAATCCGTCAGCCACAAGGTCACACAGCCAATCCGCAGCACCAGAAAGCCCCACAGACTACGCTCCTCAGCCCAAGCATCCCCGTCGCCAAGCGCAGCCCGGCCGTCCACTGCTTGCGCAGGAACCGATGTCGAGACGGTGGTGGACACGTCTGAGAGCCGAGCACCGCCATCGCCATCTCCTTGAGCCCCCGATTGATGCTCCGATGACTCCGATGGCCTTTTAGTCGAGACATTCTATTCAGAAGCTGATTGTCGATTGTGTGCGTACCTTGCGAGTTGCCCCTGCCGGACTGCGTTGAGGACCTTCATGATGTGCCCCTGGTTGCGCATGATGTGCTCCTGGTTGCGCTCTATCATCGACAGGCGCGTCAGCACATGCAGCAAGTCCTTGCTCTTAGCACCACCCTGGACACGCACACAGACGGACACAGAGAGATAGAGTGAACGCCACACATCCTTCCAAATGCGCACACGTGTGCCACCACTCCCATCTTTCCTACTGACCTTGAGTCTCTGCACGCCGAAGATGAAGTCGTCCATTTTGATCTCGCCCTCCTTGCGCCTGCCCGTCGGGTCTCGGGTCTCGAAGTCCACCGTGAGCTGGTCACAGAGACCCAGCAGGTCGTTGGGCTCGCACTCATACAGCAGGTCGTTGGGCTCGCACTCATACATCTTCATCAGACGCTGACAGATACCAGAGAGAAAGGGGCACCACACATACGGTTGAAATGTGCGCAGAATCGCCATTTCTGTCGGTGGCACCCACCCACCTTGAGTTCGGCCTTCCCCATGACCTCGGCGAGCCTGGACTTTGTGAAGGAGTCGTTCATCTCGCTGAGCTGCACGTCCTGGTACACGTCGGAGCAACTCATCCGCCGCTTCCCTTTCGGTGTGTTGCACGACCGGTCCACCAGCGACGTCAGACTCTTGAAGAAGATCCCCCTCACACCCTTGGGACTCGGCGCACCACCCGCCATCCCGTTCGTCCTTCCGTGAGTGGGCGAGGGGTCCTTGGGGTCACTCGTCGAAGCCTTGGCCTCCTCCTCCTCCGCTGCGGTGGTCAGCGAGCCGATAGTCCCTCGCTGGGCCATAGCGGTGCGCTCGTTGCGTCGGTCGCCGCTGCCGTTTTCCGAGTCAGGACGGACGCCGGCGTTCATGACGCGGATGAGCATGCAGCGAAGCTTCCAGATCTCACGGTGGTTCTCAAACTCACGGCGCTTCTCGTCCTCGCGCGACATCTGAAGGACAGGAACGGTGGGTTGTGTGCATTGTGGCCTGTGTCCGGGGTGGGATTTGTACCTGTGTGGCGCTCTCGACGAGGACGGCAGTGATGAGGTTGCTCGGAGCGAAGACGGATATACAGATGAACCCCACGAAGCAAAGCCACATCCACGGCTGCTGCTTGACGACCACCTCAGTGGCGTCCGTCCAGTCGTCTACACACACCACGCCACACACACAGACAGACAGTATTGCACGGTCCATATCTGCACATACGCCACTCACCGAGTGTCATGATTTGGAATAGAGTGCGCATGGACCTGACGACTGTGCCGAACTGCGACTGGACCTCCTCCTTCTCTTCGTTGGTTATGAAGGGCTCGCCGTCCTCGTCACTCAGCAGGCGCGGCGACGGCCAGAGGCCGTCCAGACCCATCAGTGCCCGCCGGCCCTTCTCGACAAAGGCCTCGCACTGCTGCTGCAGGAGGGGAATGATGATGCCGAAACGGTCCTGGAGCTCAGCCGCATCCGCGTCTGTCAGATTGCTGGTGAGATTTCTGCACTGCTCCTGGGCGAACGAGAAAGGGAGAATGGCCATGTTAGTGCAATGCCTCGGAGTGACTGTGTGAGGTCTGGGATGCCTTACCGCGATCTGGTTTGTGGACGGGTCCTGTTCGGGTTGGAAGTCGCTTGAGAATCCGATCATGGTGGTGACGAATGTGCCGTAGACGAAGAGCATGATGGCCGTGATGATGACGCTCCACACGAGGGTCTTCAGACTGTACGTGATACCGCCCGTCAACATCCAGCTGCACAGAGGCGGGCCCACAAACAGACACAAAAGGATGGACATAGCACGTTATCAATCAATGTCTGTGCGTTTCCGTGTCTTACAATTCTCTGAAGACGGGGTGGTATCTGAAAGCGCGCGATATGCGCAATCCTCGTATGATACGCAGGATGGAGAGCTTGCGCCACGCCATCTCTGCGTTTGAGGTCCACCCCAGGGCGGGCATCCACATCGATATGTACCACGGCAGGATGGTCATGACCACAATCATCAAGTCGATCCAGTTGTAGACGTCCTGTAGGCATGGAGGGCACACAGAAAACAGCCGATGTGCGATGCGTGCGTGCTTGTGTGGGTTGGTGAGTGAGTGTGAGGTTGACCGACCTTGAAGAACCTCCAGCTGAGGGCGACCATCTTGAAGATGAGCTCGGCGACAAAGAAGAGCAGACAGGCGAACTGTATTCCAATCCACGGCCACTTGTTGACCGTCTGGTCGCGATGACTGTCATCGACACACAAACACATAGTCACATTGATCGCACATGTCTGTGGTGTGCATCACAGTGCATGTGTGTGCTGCTGTTGAACATGCTTACCTAAAGGATGTCTCGATCCAGACAGCGATACAGTTGAGAACGATGACGATCCACACGCAAAGCTCGAATTGCCAGCTCTTGGCGATAGCATCCCCAAGCCGATTCCGGCCGTCCACTGCAGGGGTGGAGACCGATGTCGAGACGATGGTGGACACGCCTGAGAGTCGAGCACCGCCTTCGCCATCTCCTTCAGCCTCCAGTTGATATTCAAAAGACTCCGCTGCCCTTTTCGTCGAGACGTCCATGTCAGAAGCTGATTGTCTGAGGACGTCTGGGGGATCAGCCGTGGCAACAGGAGCAACGCTGACAAACGCGGGCGGCTCCATGTCTGCGTCACTCGGAGAGCCGATCTTAGAGATTGAGAGCCGTGGGAATAAACGTGATGCTTGAAGGCCTCTGTTGGTGATCCGCTGTGTAGACTTGTCTGTGTAGTGAGAGCTCGGCAGAAACTGCGGCCCCTATCTTCCCTCTTCAGTTGGAGTATCAGCAGTAGCTCGGGGTAGCGAGTAGGAATGTGACGAAGCCGAAAGAAGCATTCAGTGACGACGGAGGTCTCATGGACACGCAAGCTTGGGTCCAAACCATCGAAGCGGCGACGGGGCTGCGACTCCATCTTCTTATCTTCTTAATTCGCCAAGATCCCACCCACCCATCTTCATTTGCTTTGCTGATGGGGCAGCTCCATTCTCGTCTGACTCCGATATTGTCACTTTTGCGAGCTTGGCCAAGAGGCAGGTATAGGAGGGATGGATAGATCCCCGCATTCGCTTTAACAGTCCATCTGTCTGCCTCGGACACGCATGTCGACGAGCCAACAGAAAAGAGAAGGCGCCCCAACTAGGGCAAGACTGCGCAGCCTGTCAGTCATTGCTCTGTCCTATCAGCCGCGCTTGAGTGGCGCCATGGGATCTTCATCTTCAGCTTCAGCTTCATCGTCTGCTTTGCCTCATGGCGAGGTGAGTCAAGGCGCAACAGGCAGACACTGCCGCGTGTCAGACCGCGTGTCAGACCATCACTCACTGACTCATTCCTTCGTTCGTTTGATTGTTCGATTCGTTAGGCAATGGCATCCGCTGCGCCGTGCCGCTACCGGGAGGGCAGTCGTGTGCAGACGGTGACCAACGAGCGTGAGAAGGGCAAGCAGAGGTGGGTCAAGGCCGACGTCTATCGCATCGAAGAGAGCAGTGGACGGACGGCGGTATACATGAGGGAGGTGGGCGGACACCGGGAGGAGTTCGAAGTGATGGTGCCGCACACCGAGGCCACGGTGCTGACACACGCGAACCCACAGCCACCCATGGTAGGCAAACACACCGCAAGAGAAAGGCCCGGACAGCACTGCTCGGTGCTTGTCGTTGGTGCTTGGGTGTGTGGTGTCATGTGGGTGTAGGTGTGGGATGACAGCAAGAAGGTACACATAGCCACACACAGCCACAGACAACACACAAAGACCGCCTTCCATTCTCATGCGGCTTCCTCTCCCGTCGTCCTGTGTTTTGGTTCAGGCTCCTGCTGGTTTTGGCGACGACCATCTGACATCAGTGTTCAGCTTTATGACCCCTCGCAAGCTGTCCGCCCTGCCAAGCCTCTGCAAGCAGTGGGGGCAAGTCCGCAAGGGGGCCTTCCAGCAGCAGACCCACATCGACATCGACTGCACCACAGATGCAGACCGCCAATTCTGGGAGAGCATCACACCTGAGGGGGCCTTCCAGCTCGGCAAGCGACTCATCAACCTCACGGCCCTCAGCCTTCTTCAGCCATTCTGCGAGCGGTTGTGGTGCCGGGACATCATGATAAGCATCGTGGAGGGCCATGCGGTCGGGCGGCGCGAGGCGAGCGAGAAGGAGGGCCAGCAGTACATGGCCGAAGGCAGTCTGGAGACGATCAAATTCAGCAGCAGCACCACCACCGCCTACGGCACCACCGGCCGCAGACGGCGGTGGCTTTCCCTCCCTCCCCTCTCCGAGCCCCCAGCCCTCCCCTCCCTCAGGGCCGTCACGGGAGCCGTCCAACAGGAGAGGATGGAAGATGCCCGCACTCGAGTGTGTGGGTCAAGAGGAGGGGGGTACCAGCGAGCTGGGCCATTTCATCAAGTCGTCGCGGTCGCTGAAAGAAGTGCGAGGGCGTTTATGGCCCGGCCAAGAGTGGGCGGCTGTGTTTGAGCCCTTCCCCGTCGCATCCGCTGGGCAGCCAGGGCCGCTCAGACAACTGGAGCGTATCGGCCTGATCGAGCATGGCACCAACGTGACGCGGCTCCAAGTAAGCACATCACACTATAGTGTCTTGGTAGGGGTTGACAAGGACACACGAATGGTGTCCTTCTCTCTTCATCTGTAGGAGGTGCTCACATCGCGCGGTGCCTCAAGTCGCTCAAGAGGGTCGACGTGCAGGTTCCAGCCTTTGCGGGCCCCACTGCCCTTGCCGCCCTGCTCGCTGTCGATGACCTGATCGACAACTGCTGCGTGTCGCCTGACGTGCCCATCACTGTGAAGGGCGCGGAGTGGGTCCCCTTCGAGCTGTCCCTCTTCTACGCCGACACATTCCCCCCTCGCCCCTCTCCCTTCATCAAGACGGCCATCCAGGAGGCGGCACGGCAGGCGCATAGGGTAGTCTACAGGCTCAGTCAGCACGACCTCACCCACCCCATCGGCAACCCCAGCCAGGCGGCCGTCGACATCGCATCGAGCCTTTCATTCGACAAGGTGGGGCTCGTGAAGGTCGACAATGCCGATGGCTTCGTCCCCCCTCCTAACACCGGCTCGCCCATCCCCGACGTCATCAACCACCTGCCGCACTTCCCAAGGGCCAGACAACTGCGTGTCTACAGCGGTCTGGGCGGTGCTTCGGGCCGGCTGATGGCGCAGAAGATGCCTACGGAGGTGATGGTGGCGTTTGGCATAGATGTGAGCGCAGAGGACAGGAGGGGTGTGCTGGAGGCACTGGGGGCGGGGAGGCAGGTGGCCGAGGTCTGTGTGGGTGAAAATTTATATCCATGGGGTGCAGTCCGGGGGGTCAGTCTCACGCAGGGCGGCCTCTTTGACGGATGGGGGTCGAACAGCCTCCCAGCGATTCGCAACATAAAGATACACATATCAGGTATGCGGGAATACAGTGACTGCAGGAAGGTGTTCGTCGATACATTTGTGTGTGCATCCGCCCTGTGTGCGTGTGTGTGTGTGTGTGTCCTCATTCAGTCCCCGCTGAGTTAGAGCCCGCTGACGCTGCCGATCTCGTTAGGAGCGGCCTGACGTCTCTGCTCAACGGTGGCATGCGGGGCCTGAGGCGTGTGGAGGTGCGGCTGTGGCTGGAAGTGCATGACGCCCTTGGCGATGCCATCTGGCAGGTGTTCCGCAACGACGCGAGCATCGGCGACTTCGCCATCCACCATTGGGGCGATAGTGAGGAGATTGTGCTGGAGGCAACTCGCCGCTCTTGATGGGTGAGATTGAGAGGCAAATGGCTTTGAATTTCACTTCAATGTACATAAATATAATGTGTGTGTGTGTGTAGGTTGTGTGTTGTGACGTCAGGCTGTCTGTCGAGTCAGACACCGTACAACAAGACATCACCATGAAGAAGGTGTGGCTTCGTCATGGCTGGTGTGGCTGGTGTGTGTCTTTGTCTGTGTGTGCGTGTGTGATGGACCCACCGATTTCTGGTTATGAACACATGGCGGTAATTGACTTGGTTGAGTGTCTTCACTCACTGCAAGCAGTGTCTGTCATAGAGCAGCATGCCACACACGCCAACACGTGCTGAGAGGGGAAGACACTCATGCGACAATATTCACGCACGCATCCATCCATCCATCCCTCCCTCTCCCTCCCTCTCCCTCCCTATACACACAGACCGACCACGCAATCAAGCACTGACCAGATGACCCCTCTCTGTGCACAACACACGCACACACGGACACACAGGCCAAAGCATCTCATCTGTCTTGGTCACGTGTGCGCGTGATGCACTCACTGGTCGAGTCACCCGGTGTCGCGGACGAGTGTAAAATGGAACATATCCGCTGTGCCGAGCGGATGTGTACCATCCCGCGTCCATCCTCGACGAGTGGCGATCGCAACACCACCAACAAAGCAAAGTTATACCATCCACACACACACCCTACGTCCCCTTCTCGTATGACGCATGCAATGGGTGGCTGCTGCACAGGGGCGATGGGCGGCTAGCTGATCGGCGTTGCATCGGTGGTGCGGGCTAGTGTGGAGGGCACTGAAACAAATTCACACCACCGGCCGACACAGCCGAGACGGAAAAATGTGAGTGAGTGAGCAAGTGCATCCACTCATTGGTGTCTCTGTGAATATGCACTCGAAAAGGAAGACGAGCTCGTCTGAGGGCCTTCGTCCGTGACAACAGCTCAGCCTTGATCTCCTGCTCGGTCTTGACATACCACAACACATTCCCGTGAGACGGATGGCCACCAGAGACACAGAGGCGCGTGTGTGAGTACACGAAGATTCACTCACCTGACCAGACGGGTGATGGACGAGAAGAGCCAGCAAATATGAAATGGAGGCAGCAATTCCCCCTGAAGAGGTACACAGACAGAGGCCCGCGCGTCACGGACTCCGTCGCCGACACTGTCACTGCCTTCGCAATCTCTGTCACCGTCTCTCACCTGCACCACACTGTGCCTGCTGTAGGTGCTGCATGAGCAGGGCCTTCTGCTGCTGCATCTGCTGCTGCATCTGGGCCTGCTGCTGCATCATCCACTGTATCTCCTCCTGATGCTTGCGGTTCAAGTCGGCCATCTCCTCGCGGTGCGTGGCGGCCCGGGCCTCGTGCTGCTGCTGCATATACTCCATGATGGCTGACGTGAGGCATGGGAGAGGGGGAGGGGGGAGGGAGGGGCGCGCACACAGAGAGAGAGAGAGAGACATACACAGACGTGGCCCTCCCGCATCCACACCTCACCATCTGACACAGCGCACAACCGTACCATCTTGCGCACACGTGTGTGGAGGGAATGCCTCCGTACGTACCGTCGTAAGTGTATTTGATTCTGACTTCGTTGCCTACGACGGAGCGCACGTCGGTCTCGGCCTTGCGGAGGCGAAAGTTGGCCGTGCGGCGACCGTTCGGTGTAACCTCCCAACGAACAGTGATGTTGGTCTGCACATACATATCACACACACTCTCACAAAGAGACCAGCCCAGGTGATGTGCTTACCCACCGCCCACCTGTGCTTGTGACTCCTTGGTCTGCTTTTCGTACACAGCCAGGAGCCGAATCAGTTCGTTGAAGGTGCCACGGTACTCATGTCCGTCTTTGTACCTGCAAACGCACTTGTATCTTTGTGGGTATGTGTGTGCATGTCTGTGGCAGGCTGACCTTAGTGAGACGCGCGGAGGCTCCTTGTCGATTCTCGGCTTGTCCGATTCTCGGATCTCGAGATCCATCAGCTCGTGGTTGGAGTCCGTATGCTCCGTACTCGCGGCATCAGACACTCCTGCTCTGCCATTGTCGGCCTCGCCGCCAAATCCGTGTGCAGCTTCCTCGTCGTACGACACCATAGAGCACGGAGTTTCCCCCGAGCTCTCATTGGCTGACCCGCCCTGTGACTGGTTGCAACAACCACACACACACACACCACACACATTTCAGTCGTTGCGCAGCTGGGCTGCCGTCTGCTTGAACGTTGAGAGTAGGAATGCTCTCGTTCGTGGCAGCGGCGGTTGAAGACGATGGCGGTGGTGGTGGGTATGGTGGTGCCACCTGCTCTCGTTCGGGCGGCGGGTGCCTCTGCACATAAGGGAGATAAGGCAGGCATACACTAATTCACGTGGGTATCTATCTATTCATCGTACCATGCCGAGCTTTGCCGTGGTTCTTGGGAAATTCTTGAGGACGTACTTCTTTGTGTGCGGCCACAGGGTGCTCTGCTGCGCCACCTGCTCCGCTTCGGGCGGCGTCGTCGACGTCGAGTCCTGATGCAACACGATGGATGCAGCCAATGATGATCCACAGTTGCAAGGCCATTCTTGCTTCTGGAGTGTTGCTTCAATGTGTGTGCAGCATCCTACCAATTTTAGATGTTTGGCCGTTTGTTTGAACGTTGCGAGCAGAAATGCTCTCGTCCTTGGCAGCGGCCCGGCCGTGGCGTGGGATGCTGGTGGTGGTGGCGGGTAGGGCGCCGCCTGCTCCGGTTTAGGCGGCGGTTTTTTCTGCACATAGGGGAGATAAGACAGGCATACATACACTAATTGACGTGGGTATCTATCTATTCATCGTACCAGGCCCAACGTGGCCGTTGTGTTCGGAAACCTGTCGAGAAGCCACCGATGGGTGCGCGGGAATGCCGCACATATGTTGGGCAGCCATCGGGCATTCTTGCCCTTGCCACCACCGCTGCCGTCGTTGTTGTCTGCCGAGTCCACATATTGACAGATGAGTATGGGAGAGAGAGAGAGAGAGAGAGAGAGGGACAGACGGGCTTGCGTGTGGTGTGGTACCGATGTGCCGTTTGAGCATCGAGGGCGGAATGGCATCCGGCATGACGGCCACACCAACTGCACCCATTGCATCCCCACCCCCACACCACACACAGACGCATCTCTCTATCTGTCTGTCCCCCCACGTCTCCCTTACACGAGGGTCGTCTAGACGTCTTCCGCCCTGGAAACTCCATCAACGGCCCTATCACAGGCGACACAGGCGACACAGCAGCACCACTAGCAGCACCACTAGCAGCGGCGGCGGCAGGAGCACCCTTGCCGTCTTCGGGTGGCGAAGGGGCCTTTCTGCTGGGAGGGGTCAGTTTGCTGCCGGGCTGAGGCAGGGGCGATGGTGTGGGGCCGGCCTTGTGTGTGTGCGATGTGGGTGTGGGCATGGTGGGTGTGCGCACAGGGGTGCCCTTTGACGAGCGGCCGACGGGCTTGCTCGGGCGGCGGGGGATGTCAGGGGGGCCGGTGGGGGTCCTCTTGACCTGCACGGCAGAGAGACAGAGGGACGAGTTGGTTAGTTGTTGTGATGTGAGGCGTGGGTGTCAGGAAGGTAAGGCACCTACCTGTTTGTGTTGTTCCTCTTTCTTGACGTCGTGTGCGGCTTTTCTGAGGTCCTTGAGGAAGTCGTAGACAGTCTTGCAGAGGTCCGGCCGCATGCTACACGTGTTGGGATCGTCGCCCCTCTGCACACACACACACACACAATCACACACACACACACACGCACAATCACATGGGTGGAAGACCACAGGTGACCAGGAGAGTGGTACTGACTCACTCACTCACCGCATCTATAGGAAAGAAGCCCTGCACGTCGCCGAAGTAGAGAACGGCTGCCGTGTAGGCATCCCTGAGCTCGCCCAGCTTGTGGTCCATCTGGATGACCTGCGACACGCTCCGCTTGTGGAAGTCGGCCATGACCTGGTGGAAACTGACACACGAATGGAGCAAACCAAACACACATAAGGAGGCGTTGGGAGAGAGGTAGAGGGTTGGTCGGCTGACTGACGGGCTGACTGACCAGTCCCTTTTGTCGGCCTCGTGGGGAGCCATGGAGTTGCGCCGCCTCTCCTGCCGATACTCTGCCTTGATCTGATTGATGGTGTGCAGGCAGACAGAGAGAAAGAAAGAAAGATGTGAGATGTCTGGGAGGGAATAGGCGAGTGCTGTGATGCCTACGGCGAGCCACGAGTTGATGTGGTCCATGCCCAACGTGTAGGTCATCGCAACGTGCTCTGACACACACAGACACACATACACACACACACACACACAGAGAGATGCATCCACAAGTGCGGCCGGCCGTCCGTGTGTGTGTGTGGGGGGGGTACGCACGCTGCTGCGCCTTGGCGAGGATGCGCATGTCCTTCTCATCCAACACCTCACCTGCACACACACACACACACAGCCACAAAGGCATTCACATGGATGGAAGGATGGACGGATGGCTTGCTTCTTCTGTCGTATGTTCACGGATGGCTTACGCGTCCACGGGAAGGTCTCGATGAGGTAGTGCAGCACGTGCCGCTCGCGCCTGTCCGCCGTGGTCATCTTGGTGTCTCCCAACTGCACACAGGTGGGGAGGGGTACATCTATGTCATTCAGGTGTTTGTTTGGGTATTTTGGCCTGCCCTGCCCACCATTTTGAGTGTTTTGAGTCTGAACCACTGTCTGTTGCCGAGAGTGGTGCCCTCGTTGAGCTTGTTGCCGATCGCCACTATCACCTACACACACACACACAGACGCATAGCTATGACACGGGGAGGGGTGTGTGTCTGTAAGTACGAGGAATAGGTGGTGGAGCCTCTTGCTCTTCATCAGCATGTCCAGAGCCGCCAGCTGGTCCTCAATGTACTGGCGCACACATACACACATCCAGGCGCGTACGTCCAATGGACACAAGAGAATCTCTGTCTGTGTGAGGGCACCTGGATGGTTTCCTTGAATGAGTCCTCAGCGTACAGCTTGAACGCCATGCACTCCAGCCGCTCCTTCAGACGCGGGATGGTCGACATCTGACGCATAGTCACACACACAAAGGCACACAGATGTGTGTGTCGAGCTTTGTGTGTGGCGTCGGTCGTCGCACATACGTTGTAGACGAACTCCTCGGCAGCGAGCAGCGGCACACCCGGGTGATCCTGACAGACTCACACATACAGAGACGATGATAGAGGGAGCGGGAAGGAGACAGAATGCATAAGGCGCAGGCCGACGGTCAGACAGACAGACAGACTCCCACCTGTTTGTACTGCAGCACGGCCGCTATGTCTTCATCCTTCGGCACAGCATCCCTACAACACGCCCCCGAAGCACATAGATGCGTGTGTGTGTGTGTGTGTCTCTTGTCACATGAGTGAGTTGATGAGCTCCTTGTTGAGGAACTCCAGGTTACACTCGAGGAACAGGCGCTTGAACTCATGCAGCCAGTGGGGGTGCTCGCGGCTCGACATGCACCCCCGCAGACGGGCCGTAACCGTCATTGCGATGCGCTGACGGGCTACCTCTGCACACACACACACACACACACAACCATACAGACACCTCTCTCTCACTCTGTGGAAACACGGGTGTGTTGTTTGGGAGGGGTGGGGGAATGAGTGTGCCGACCGTATCGCTTCTGTCCCTTGTCGGTGAGGCATGACGACCGCTGCGGCTTGGCCCCTCCAGCGGCAAACGAATCAGGGGCAGCCTGAGTGTGCAGAAAAAAAGAAAGGCATGCATGTGTTTGTCTGAGGCGAAAGAGGTGTGGTGTGTAGTGCGTTGTCTGCCTTGGTGGGTTTTCGTTTGAAGAGTTCCACGAGCCGCGGGTCCTGCGCTACGCCCTGCATCAGCCGCTCGCCCTCCTCGTCCAAATCGAAGACTGACACGACCGACACCATCACACATAGAGCGCGTAGTCAGTCAGTCAGATGGTGTGGCTGTGTCGTCCCGCCCGTCGGTACTGGATGGCGTGATGGGGTTGAGCTGGCGCTTCGTCAAACTGCACACATGGATGGTGTATACGGATGCACAGATGATGATGCAGACGTGGATCACCCACCCACCGCTCTTACGCAGACGACAGACAGACATACGTACCTCTGTCGGGCGGCTACAGCCTCGGGGAAGTCCCTCACCGTCTGGTCAAAATCCACAACCACCCTCCCCTTCTCACCCACACCAGCAGCGCCACCGCCAGCCCCAGCCCCGCCCACACTCATCCGACCACCCTTAGCCGATGTACCAGCCCCACTCCCAACCCCAGCGCCACCCCCACCCCCACCAGCATGTTTGCCGCTGCCCTCCTCCTTGCCCCCACTGTGACCTCCTCCGACACCAGCCTGTGAGAACTTAGCCTGCTGCTGCAGCCGCAATATCTCCTCTGTGCCCACGTCGGCCCTCGGGGGTGCGCCCCCCGCCGTCCCCCACTGGATGTTGACGCACTCGGACATGGGCGCCTTCTTGCCTCGGTTGGCGGCGTCTGCCGACTTGCTGATGGGAGGGGCTCGTTTGCCGCCAGCTGGATGTTTGGGCGGTGGTGGGGGGGCCTTGACCGATGGGAGCTTGGGTGGACGGGCGCCGGAGAACTTTGGCGGAGGACCTGAGGTAGAAGGGAGAGAACACACGACACGGGTCCATCCAGCGCATTGAATCCACCCACTGCTCACCTTTGGGCGGTGCGGCCTTGCCCTTTGCCTCCGCAGCCGCAGCAGCAGCAGCCTGCACGCCGCCATCTGCCGAAGAGGGCTCCGGCGCACCACCACCCTCTCCAATCTGCTGTTGCGATGACCCTTTGCCCTCTCCCTCCCCTGTGTGAGTGACGGTGCCTCTCCACTGGTACAGCTGCGGAGGGCCCGGCAGCCCCAGAGTGCCTGTGATGAACGAGAGGGTCCTATCGTACTCGGCTTTGAGGGCCTGGAAGGCCGGTGTGGCCTCGGGAGGGATGTGGACGGGGGGCGGGGGAGGGGGAGAGAGGGGGGTAATTGGAGCTTTCTCGGCACTCTTTGTGTCGGGGTTGGTGTTGGTCTGGTGTGAGAGCTGATCGAGCGACAGAGAAGCATAGAGGATGGATCGTGTCGTGTGTGTTGTGTGTGGTGGTAGGGCTTACGAGGTCCTGCAGCCGGTGGATCTCGGCCTCCAAGCTGACAGAACAAAGAAACAAAGGAACAGGGGCACTCATGGATTGTGGTGGTCGGATCTCTTCTTTCTCCCTCTTGGCGTGGCGTGTGTGTCATGTACCGTTCTTGTGTGCTATCCTTGACCCTGAGCAGGTGGCTGAGTTGGCTGTTACGGTCCCTGCAGACAGAGAATGGGGCAAGGAACAATGACACGCAACCATCATGGACGACAGAAGAAGCTCAGGGAGAATCGCGGCCTTCCCCTCCCGTGCAGTGCTGTGCGACCGCATGCACCTGTGTGTGTGTAGCTTTTGCAGTGCCTCCACCTGCCCCTGAAGGTCCCGCTGCACCGCCTCCACCTGACGCGCACTCTCAGCCTGCAACCTGCACACACGAAAACCAGCAACACAACACACACGCCGTCAGATTCTCGCGCACATCCTCCATGCGCACAGAGAGGGACCTTCCCTGCATCAGTGTATCTATCCTACTTGTGCATTCTGTCCAGTTCGGTCTTCCACTTCCGCTTCCAGTTGTCCCGATCGGCCTCGAGCTGGCGGTTGGTGGTCTCGCGCTTCTTGGCGTCGGCCTCGGCCTGTTTGATAAAGCGGCTCAGCTGCTCCGTCCGCACCTCGGCCCTCCGCCGCCGCTCCCGCTCTTCATCCAGCTCCCGCGTGGCAGTGCGCGGCGTGAGGGAGGGGAGATCTTCCTCGGCATCTTCCCCTTCTTGCTGCTGCTGGCCGGCCTTACCGTCAGCTCTCATGGCCGCCATCTCCCTCACTCACTGCGCTGGGGTTTGATGTAAACGCAGGGTTTGTGCGAGCTGGGGGCAGTTTTGGAGTTGGTTTGGAGTTGTCCTTGTGCGGCCTTTGCATCGCTCTCTGGGTATGGCCGCCTGATCGGTATCGCGATCAGCCGCCTAAAAGGCCGTATAGAAGGCTTCTGCGAGTTGTTGGTTTGTTGAGGATGGCGCAGGCCCTTGCGCAGTCCAACGACATGGAGCACGACCCCTATGTGGTCCAGAATTTCAACTTCGTCCGTATGCTCGGATCAGGTGAGCCCAAAGAGACGAGAGGGAGGGTCAAAAGAGCCGGGGAAGCCTGAGACACGGCGTGGGACGTGATATGCACTGAGGGAGCCGGGATGGAATGCGTCGGATGCATCGGATGGATGGTGCATTTTGCTCTGTGTGGATGCGTGGACGCGTGGCTGGATGCATCGGCATATTCTTGACGCTCTCCATTGCGTAACTCTTTTTTCCTTTCCCTCTGTCTGCGTATTCTGTTGGTGTGCAGGAACGTATGGCTGTGTAGCTGCCGTGACGAATCGCACGTTGACTGAGGTCCCCGAGGGCACACCCCTGGCCATCAAGAAGGTAGGTAACCACGCCACTGACTGATCATCCCGAGAGGGAATGCATGGTGACAATGGCATCTCTTCATGTGTGTGCACGCGGTGCGGTGTGATATGGTGTGATGTGTTGTGTGCAGATGAAGAAGTGGAACGGGGGCGAAGGCATAGAATCCACCACGATGCGCGAGGTGAGGCCTGGACCACACGCAATCCCACACACAACACGACGCACCACAACAAAGTCATCTCCCCCACGTCCCCGCCATCTTTCCCCGTGTGTGTGTGTGTGTCAGGTGAATGCGTTGATGGCGTTGAGGGGCCACATGAACATCGTCACCCTCCACAAGGTCGGCATGGACCCCTCGGACCCCATGGCCACCATCGTGTACCTCATCTTCGAGCTGTGCGAGGCCGGCGACGTCGGACGCCTCCGTACCATCTGTGCCAAGGAGAACAAGATCAATCACCCCCACTGGAACCCAAACAAACTACTCCCCATGAACACAGGTACGCACACACACAATGACAACACATGGGAGAGGGAGAGGGAGAGGGGGAGGGACAGGGGCTCACGTGTTGGTTTGTATGTGTGTGTGTGTGTGCAGTGCCGACGCTGGAGCAGTTGGCCCGCGTGATGTACCAGATACTCAACGGCATCGCCTACATGCACTGCAAAGGACGTACGCCACTCTGACACTATGGCACACACCATACCATACCAACCATTCTTCCATCCACAGCCATGTACTGATGTACCTGTGTGTGTGTGTATGCGTGTGTGTGTGTGTGCAGTCATCCACCGTGACCTGAAACCGCAGAACATCCTCATGACCACCGACTGGATCGTCAAAATCGCCGACTTCGGTCAGCTACCGCACACACCGTGGCAACACACAGATCTGTCCATCCATCCATCCATGTGTGTGTGGTGTATTCACTCCCCAGGTTTGGCTCGCACGGTGACGATTCCGAATAAGTTGATGTCGCACGAGGTGGCCACTCAGTGGTGAGCACACAACTCAACACCTACACCCTCACACCCTCACACACATACAGAGAGCATCGCACAGTGCATTCAGCAGTGTCTCTCTCTATGTGCGTGTTCGTGTGTGTGCAGGTACCGCCCGCCCGAGTTGTTCATGGGACCGGCCAACTTCAAGTACACCTATGCCCTGGACATCTGGTCAGTCAGCCGACAAAAGACACAACACTCAGAGAGAGGGAGGGGGAGAGAGGGGGTTGAGAGGGATGGATGGAGAGAGGGGGACGGAGGGGGCCTGTGCAATTCTGGTGTGTGTGTGTCATGTGCCGTCGTCAGGTCCACTGGGTGCATCTTCATAGAGTTGACGAGCGGCATGCCGGCCTTCAACGCCCACACTGAGGTGCGCAGCACCTCCAAAAACCACACACACTCGTCTGCCTGTGTGCCCATCTGCCTGTGTGTCTCTGTTGCCACCTTTCTGTCAGTTTGAGACGTTGATGAAGATGCTCAACACGCTGGGCACCCCCACCAACGCCATCTGGCCGGGCAGCGAAGCGTTCACCTACGCCGACCAGTTCAATGTGCCCCCCTCACACACAACACAACACAACTCATTCATCTCTCTCTCTCTCTGCGCGTGTGTGTGTGTGTACAGCGTTTCCCCAAGTTTGTGCGCGACCCGCGTGACGGCATCACGGCGCTGCTGCGCCGCAGCCACGACTCCATCTCCCAGGCCGCCGGGTACCGCCCCTACGGCCGCACCGACATCGACCGCAACTCGCTGGCCGTGGATCTCTTCACTCGGTGGGCAGACGCAGCAGACACACACACAGGGGGGCGGAGGGGTGTGGTGTGTGGGGGTCATGTGTGTGATGTGGCTGTGGTTGTGTGTTGGTTGCGTCAGCATGTTGACGTACCAGCCGGATCGTCGCATCACGGCTGTGCAGGCGTTGTACCATCCCTTCTTCGACATCGTTGACAAGACTCAGTAAGCGACCAGTGAGGGAGGAGTGAGGACAGGCAAAGGGATGGATGGGCACACGAACATAACATGTCTGTTGTTGTGGTGGTGGTGGTGGTGGTGGTCGTGTGGTCTTGTCGTTGGTTCGTTTGTTCGTGTGTGCAGGTATCAGCACTTCCTGGGCGAGGTGCAGGCCAACTATCCTGAGGGTACGTATTGCGTATGGTAGAGGAGACACAAACCACCCAAACCACCGCACACCCACCACACACCCATACACACACAGAGAGAGAGACACAGAGAGAGAGACTCACCCACCACCCCATCCCCCCCTCTCCCCCTCTCTCTCTGTGCGTCCATCCATGTAGGGTTTCCTGTGATGCCGCCGAACCCGCCCTTCCCCCAGGTGGACTACGGCCTCCCCGACAACCATGACAACGACGACATGGACGTCGACGACGGCCCCGCACCGGCCGCCGCCGCCGCTGCTGCTGCTGGGGGCGGTGGCGGTGGCTCCAGGGGCCGCCGTGGCCGTCGTGGCCCCACGCAGGGCAACAACCAGGCTGCCGGGGGCGGAGGGGAGGGGGTGGGGCTGCGCGTGTCGCCCCGTCTGCGGGAGAAGCGGGACAAGGGCCAGGAGCCCATCAACTACGCCCACATGTCCAAGGGCAAGAAGCGCGACCGCGATGGCCGCGCCAAGTAGACAGACCATCACACCATCACACCATCACACACACACACTCCATACTACACACCACACACGCAGCACACCGACGGGGGGGGGAGTATGGATGGATTGGCGACTGAATGAATGAATGAGTGTGTGATTGTGTGTGGAGAGATCCCATGGCTGCCTGCCTCACTCACTGTCAGGCTGGTTGGCTGTCGTGCAGCGCTGCTTGTGAGCATGGGAGTTCGTTGTGTGTTGCAGTCGTCTGTCTGCCCGTTCGTGTTGTGTGGATTGGATGACAGGAACTCTCTCACTGGTTTTGTTTCTTCCTGGGACAGAGAGAGAGAGAGAGAGAGAGAAAGGTTAGCCACCACCAACACCCACACAGATACATCACATCGACCGAGGCAGTTTGTGTGCAAGTACGAGAGAGGGAGGAGAGCAGGGCAGGCAGCAAGGACCTTCTTCTACCTCACGTCCGTCCATCCATTCAGCGCCACACCAGCCAACACTACACACACACACAGCGCCTCCCTTTCTTTTTCTCGGCTCCACCCATCATCCACCCATCCACCCCGCCCGTGTGTGTCTCTCTTTCTCGGTTCATGCTTTCATGACTGACCTCTCTCGTCCATCCGATCCATGACTGACTGACTGCCTTTGTCCGGTGAGTGACGCCGATGGAACAGACAGACCAATACACACACAGACAGACAGACCCACAAACATCCAGCCACGTTGCCACGCAGGCAGGATTAGCGGATGGATGGATGGATGAGACACAGACAGACACCCACACACATAAGGCGCCCCTTCGGCCATGGCTGCGTGTGTGGATGCATGTGCGAAATGGCGTGTGTGTGTGTGTGTGTGTGTGCATACGGCTGGCTGCTTCCTTGTTGGTGGACTTCCTTCGTGGATTGCCGATGGTATGTGAGACCGACACGCGGACGACTGACTGACTGAGTGACTGACTGACTGAATTCAGTATTCCAGGAAATGGGTGGACGGACACCACTCATTCACTGTCTCGCTCACACACATGACATCACACACGCATCGCATCTGGCCGGTCAGTCAAAGCATGGCATCCATCGTACGCACGCACATCCCTTCGTCAGCCCACCCACGCAGCACCCACAGCAACCTCGACAGACAGACAGGCAGACAGACAGACGTACAGGGAGGCAGGAAAGCGGGACCGCATTCAAGTTGGGTGCATGTCTGTCTGTCTGTCGTCGCACAGACCGTCGCTGCCCTCATACACTCAATGCACACCACATCACACCATCAGCACCTTCGCTGTCAAGACATCAATCACGGTCACATCCGTCCACCATCCACGCTTTCCAGCCACCGGCCGTCCATCCAGAAAGACACACAGATCGACCAGCGAAACAAGTCAGTCACACGAACATGTCGATGAGCCAGAAGAAAGAAAGGGGCTCAAGGCAAGACAAGCAGCTGAAAGGCATGAAACTACATCCCTTCGTGCTACAACAGGCAAACAAGCACGTGACTGACATGCATGGAGCTGCACACACATGTATACAGCCGTAGATCCGTACGCACAGCCACTTCGGTCCTGCGGCTGGCGGTGGAATCCACCGATCGTTTGGCTCCCTTCCTCCCTGTCTGATTGACTGGAAGGATAACAGACAGCCGGCCACTTGTCAGTCCCATCAGCAGCAGCAGCAGGAAGTACCATACTTCGCCCAAGCACTTCCAAGTGCCCAAGAATGTGCCGTCCATCACACGACCGATGGAGCTCCCTGGTGCATAGTAAACAAGACAACGAGGAATGACACACAACGTCCTCATTCCCTCCTCTTCTCACCTCTTGAGAGTCGGTCGACAATCCACTCTTTCGCCGCATAGACATGCTCCACGCAAACGACCCGACTCGAGAGAGAACCGTCACCAGAGTGAAGAAGGCAGATACGATGAAGACCGTCGGATTGCTGGCCTCCATCGCCCACACAATTCTCAGCACCAAGATGGGCACTTCCAGGAGGGCAAAGGCGACAATCTAGATGTGCTGGCATACTGAGGGAGAGCCGCGGATGCCGTAGTGAATGAACAGCGATATGAAGTCGGCCAGCGATAGGCCCAGGATGACAAAGCCAACAACTCCATAGCCTTGCGCTTCACTTTTCAGACGGCTCATCGTGGTATCCATGCATTCCCTTTCATAATCACTCCACGGATATTTGCCATCGACCATACAGATGGATCTTGCACGACCCCATAGCCTTTCTGGAAGCCCGGTGATCATTTGAAACCCCACCGCCGCATCGGTAATGAAGTCCACGGCCATCCCCACGACGGCCAGCAGTTTATACAACCGAATGAAGGTGAGATAGTCCATCCGTTTGAGCCACCGCTTGGTCACCGAGCGGTAGAGGAAGGGCTCTGTTTGCCGGGCCTTGGCTATCCACTCGGCCGTCGCCGAGGGTCTCCACTCTGCCCGACGGCCGCAGCATGAGAGCCGGTTGTGATCGACGTCGATTTCCCTTCCACCCGTCGGGCTGGTCGATGCACGGATGAGCCGCGGCTCCGAGATGACAATGAAGAGAGCCAACTGGAGAAGGGCCCCTCCAGCCAGCCACGCCAGTGCGCCGAAGCGCATACCGAAGGTATCGCTTTCAACGGACATAGTGAGATAATTAGAAACCGCGAATAAGTACATGAACCCGGAATAGACAATGGTCAGAACGATAGAGAAATAGACGAGCCATCGAGTGCCCCACCAAAGAGGCGGCGCGCACAGACTTCCCAATCCAATCAAGAGCATCAGCGACGGCGGTGTCCATATCACAATCACAAAGGGAATCACGGGAGCGAATAACAAACTCCTCGCATACCCAAGGATAACGAGAAGGTAGTAGATAAAACTAAAACCACCCCACGACCACAGTGCATAGATCAGGAGGAGGCCGATGATGAGCAGGAAATGCCTCAGAGGGTAGTCCGTCAGCCACAAGGTCACACAGCCAATCCGCAGCACCAGAAAGCCCCACAGATCGCCCTCCTCAGCCGAAATCCCCGTCGCCAAGCGGAGCCCGGCCGTCCACTGCAGGGGTGGAGACCGATGTCGAGACGGTGGTGGACACGCCTGAGAGCCGAGCGCCGCCTTCGCCATCTCCTTGAGCCTTTGGTTGATGCTTCGATGACTTCGCTGACCTTGTCGTCGAGACGTCCAATTCAGAAGCTGATTGTCTGAGGACGTCTGTGTCTGGGGGATCAGCCGTGGCGGGAGGAGGGGCGCTGACAGACGTGGGCGGCCTCATGCCTGTGAGCCGTGCGAATAGACGCGATGCTTGAAGGCCGCTGTTGCTGATCCGCTGTGTGGTAAGTGAGCTCGGGAGCCAAATCACGGCGGCTTCACAGAACAGAGAGAGAGAAAAGTCAGCTGATGCAGTGAGAGCCCTTCTGGCTGCGTGTTGGTCGCCATCCTGTGTGCGTTTGTGAGTCTCTCTGCTGCCTTTCTTCCTCTCTCTCTCTCTCTCCCGCGCGGAGATTGGGCGTTAGGGCAGGCGTCGGTATAACGTAACGTCGTGTAACGCGCACACAACTCAAACACCACGAAAAAGAGGCACATCCAGCTCGCCACATCACCCCCCTGCACCGCACAATCACGAGCTGCACAGAGATCTGCAGTCAGCGATTCATTTCTCTGTCCCTTTGTGTGCCATCTGTTGGGTGTTGCAGGTCAGTGGACTGCCCGAGGCACTTCACAGGATGGATGAATGGACTTCTCTGTGGCTTTACAGGGGAAGAGGGGTACTCCGCTCTCTTCACCGCCGTGGTACACTGATGGATGGAAACCATGCAGTAGTCAGTTGAGTGCGTGTCTGTGTGGGTGCACATTCATCTCGTCCTGGCCTTGCTGGTCGCCCTCTGACTCCCCAAATGTGTCGCCCGGACACTGCGGCAACCGCAGCGAGAAGCGCCGGCAGATCAACGCCTACGCCACAATCGTGGGTGCTAATGTCCTGGACTCTTTGGGTGGCTCTGGCTCGTTGACGCTTGCGTCGGTCCAGCAGCAGGTCAGAGAGCAGATCGTTCGAAAGCCTGGCCGATGAGCTGCCCGAGTGTGTGATCAACAACAATGATGCGGCGAGGGACACCGTCGTTCTTGGCGACCAGCAGCTCAAGATAAAGTTTGTCTTCAAACTGGCACTTGTGTGTATCGCTGGAGTAGTCTCGAGAGCGAGAGCGGCTCATCATCGGTGCGATATCGGGCGTGCAAATTGTCTGAAGCTGATAGCGTTGAACTCATGGTGTGTCATCCTTGCATCGGGCTTCTCGCCAGATGCTCAGACATGTCACTGCCCGGCGGACCGTGCAGGTAAGGGCAATTATAGATCGGAAGCCAGCGGACTGACTGACCGTCTCACTCACTCCATGTCTGTCTGTCTGTCGTTGCTTGCGGCAGGATGACTATTGCGCCGGGTCTGGTGGATGGCGGACTGGGAATTATCATCTTTGCTGCGGTCTCTCGCTCACTCACTGTCTTTCGAGTGGGCCGCATCTGGCGCTGTCGGTGGACGATTGGATCAGCAGGGCACAGTTCCTCCGGCGTCTGATGGTGTGTGCTGCTTTCGTCTGTGTGTGCCGTCTTGTCTGTCGTCGGTCACTGCCGTGTTTGTGTCTGTGGCGTGAGCTGACCAGACCTTCCCAATTGGGATTATGGAACAAGCCACTGACTGATGGAGGCCTTGGCAGGCAAACTTACTACACGGGATAACCCCACTCACAGCACATGAGTCGTCCTTGATCCGACTCGGCAAAGAACACACCGCCTCACACACATCTGCACACCACAGTCAGGCAGTCTCCTGCCTGCCTGCCTGCTTACCATGGATCGATGGATCGATTCATCGTGAGACAGCCCCCCAGTCAGTCGCACGTATAGACAAGCACAAACATGTGTGTACACAGCCAGCCCGGCACCCTCCTCGTCCACCGCCGCCACTGTACAACGCGGCGATAGACACTTTATCACCCGCCAGCTTAGCAAACAGCCCGACGGCCTGAAGCTCATCCCAGCTGCAGCCCCTGTATGGTGGCCCTGATCCTCTCGACTCCGTCACGGGCGTCGATCTTGAGGAAGTAGTTCTGGCAGTGGAATGCCCTGTGGCACGCGTGGCTGTCCACACCAGAACCTGACGCGTA